AAGGCAAAATAGTGATATTGTCTATATGTTTCACGGTCATAATACCACTCAAAGGAATCATTCTAGTTGGGTTAATGTTAGTGAACCTTCCGCCCAATGCAGATATTGTAATGCTATGCATTTTCACAAAAATTACCCACAAAATCCACATCATAGGGAACAAAAGCAGTAAGAACGTGCCCAGAACGGTTGGTTCACACAGAACCAACCACAATTAGGTAAATTCCCCTATCAACGTAGATCCAATTTTCGAGGGAAAGCACCAGGCGTAATTTTTTATCTCGGGTATTAACACATTACCGATTAATCATATCAATTATATATCTGAATCAGCAGACAACATCATTCTTACCTATATTTTACCTCGAACATTTTCCCTACATGGTAAACCTGATCTGAACAAATACAATTTGCGTGTGCCTTGAAAAATATTACTTCTTCGGGTGCAATTACAATTGAATTAACCATTGACAACCTTAGAGTTTAACACCGCTTTCCAACTCACCTCTGAATTAAGCGAAGATAATAAAAAGAAAAACTTTATACCACTACTACTAAACATAACAATCGACTGAAAAAACAGAAAAAAATTCAGCAGCAAAAGACTATTTTAGACAACTTACTACAGGATATGCTTCAAAATAATATTATTTAATCTGTGATGGGAACTGCCGTTTCTGTGTGGATTATAGGCCTCTAAATGAAATACTTCAAACAAATTCAACACCTTCTGTACTCCCGATGGTCATCTATACCACTTTAACGTTATACCTTTTGGATGTAAAGGAGCTCCGGTAACATTTCAGAGACTCATGGTCGAGGCACTCCCTGGTTTTGTCGGTGATTTTGTGATAGTCTACTTAGATGACATTTTTATTTTCCGTCAAGATTTCCCATCACACCTCCAACATATATGTTTGATCCTGGAACTTTTGAGACTGCGTAATCTTCATATCTCAGCATCGAAATGCGAAATAGCGTTGGAAGAACTGGATTATCTTAGACACTACATTTACAAGGAAACCAATAGGCCTCAAAACAGACATGTGGTTGTAAACTACCCTGAGCCTAAGACAAAGAAATATTTAAAATCATTTCTGCGATTTGAATGTTACGTCGAACAACATAATTCTTTCGAGAATATTAAATCAGAGGTTGTTAAACCTTTGATTTTACATAGGCCAGATTTGAATAAAGAAATTATACTTCAAACTGATGCTAGTGATAAAGGAATGGAATGTGTTTGGTAACAAGAGGGAGAAAATTTAGAAAAAAGGATTGTTTCTTATGCGAGTGCCACTTTTACAAACACTGAGACACACTGTCATATTACCGGAAAATAATGCTTGAGCATTGTTTAGTCTATCAAACGCGTCAGGCATAATCCATAGGACAAACCACTTTTACTTCGTATGGACAACAGGTCTTTATTATGACTGGATAATAACAAAAAAACAAAAATAAAACTCACTCGATGGCCACTGCCGCTACAGGGATTTTCTTTCAAAATTGAACATGTACCTGGGAAAAACTTCCTGATCTGTTATCCCGGTATCCGCAGGAATTTCATGGTATTGATTAAGACATGGAAGAACATCTCTGTATATATTTATAAAAATCATTCCTCCAATAATAAATTAGTAGTTCTCCCAGAATGTGTCTATCAGCAGTTGCACATCCTGGAAGAGATGAGACAGTCAGGGCGACGAACCAAAGGTACTATTGGAAGAACATGAAGAAAACCAATGGCAAATATATCGAGAAATGCCGGGTTTGTTTTTCGATCAAGACTAAAGAATGCTTCCTTTCGACCACATACACCTGCCAAGCCATGGGACGTCATTAGCGTTGATGTTTTAGGTATTTATCAAGGAAAGGTCATCAGTATATTTTTTTAGTGAAAGATGTCTTCACTGTTTGGGTTGAAGCCAAATCGTACAGGAAGGTCGATGGAAAAGAAATTATAGAATTTTTGGTACCGGAAATATTATTTCGATATGAAACACCGAGAAATATTATCTCACACAAAGGCCCCCAATTTCAAAGCGACGTTTGTGTAGACAAGTGAAAGAAGAAATGTATTAAAAGAAATGTATTAAAGCTTTTTATAGACCCATTTAGGACCCACCAACTATTTAACGGCAAAAGCAAGAATTGAAACAACACTTAAAGTGTTGTTAGTGGATCAACCCAAACGTGATTGGCCACTTTTTCTTGGTGACGTTTTGTTTGAACTGAAAAAAAGTTAACTCCCAGTATGGTCCTACCAGGATACGAACTTTCTAGACCCAAGGACTGGATTTACAACCTATCAATTTAAAATATAATTCCTTCGATTGAGACATAAGCGGAAAGATATCTTGGGTAATCAAATCCGATATCAAGATAAATACGCCCCGCAGCCGTCTAGAGTTCCACTAACGTTGGATGTAGGCACTTTAGTAGATAGCCACCAACTTTAGCCCCCTTTTGATGCTAAACGTTGGATGTAGGCACTTTAGTAGATAGCCACCAACTTTAGCCCCCTTTTGTTGTTAGTATTAAACCTACGAAATTCTAAGAAATGATAAGATTATATGCGTCCATATGGATGATATTAGACCATCATGGTTTGATAAGGATACAGCTTTCATGAGTCATGAGTCATTGCTTCAGCTCTCACCTAAACATATTGTCGAGTTTTTCAATTTGACATTCTCGTCTTCCGAGGACGAGCAGAAAAGCTTAAGTTCGAATGGTGAACTGACCTCAGAAGGAAAGCCTGATGGGACCAATGACGCAATTGCACAAGAAATTATCCTGATTAAATCAACCTCTTGCAGTAACGGGGACAACTCCAAAAAAGCCATATCTGGGCTTCCAAAAAAAGAAGCCCCAGAAAATTGTGAAGCGAGTCATGATTTCAAACTACCATCTCTTATGAAGAGGGAAGAGGTCCCCCAGAGCGCTGAATGTTCGCAATAAATGTAATTGTTGCGACTAAGTAGAAACCCTAAAATGGATCTGTGTGGACGGTATCTGATTTAATTTACATTGCTTTCTTAATCATTACAATTTTGTGGCAATTTTGAGTTATAAGAATAGCTTTGTAATAATATTGTATGGTATATGTATATTTAAGCCGCTTTTCCCTGGCATTGCACCTTTTCGGAAGGGGGTAAGTGTTGTAGTATTAATTTCAAACATATTTCTTAAAAGCGCCATATTACGTATGTCCACGAATGAAGTAGATAATAAGACAAAAAAAGACTAAGAAATGAAAGGTATGCTTTTTTTACAGGGTACTAAACAAATGCAAATATATATAATTTTCTATTATGGAATTTAATGGACTTTTTGATAACACGTGTAACAGAAATCCTCATTGCACATGCTGGAAAAGTATTTGTCAGACAAGTTGAAAGAATTGCCTCTTCAGTATTCTTCATTGTACCCCATATATGAAAGAATGGCTCCATAGTTAATTTGGTAATCGATGGATAGACAAATGTGGTTGAATTTTACGGCCACCTAGCCTCCATTTGGTAATTTGCGATACGTTCGTTTGTCGGCGTCTTAAACAATTAATATATTAAAAACCCATTGAAGATGCCAAAAAAGTTGTGAAGAAGAGAATATTAGAATCAGTATAATCAGTTTCTTTGTAAACAATAAGGACTTTTATCACGTTTTGATTTTACTTAGAAAAACGTGCAGAAATATTAAATTATATCCACTTATTTGTTTTAATTTCAATATGCCATATATAAAATGTTTTTCATTGAATGAAACCGTTATTCTGTGACAATTTTCTGCAGCCCCATAAATCTTGGAATTATAAATAAGGTGATTGATAAAGGCAATTAAAAATATTTTGCTTTTAATTCGAAATTTTAAAATTTTGAATTTCTGCAATCTGCAACGCATAATTTGCAATGTAAAACAACATTTATATTTAACATTTTATGTTTGAGCTGTAAAAAGACAAATTTTATATTTCTGTATTTTTCTCGTAGGCTGTAAAGCAAATAAATTTTTTTGTAAAGAACATCTATTTCCGGATCTTTCACTTCACAAGTTTTAGCTTAAGTTTTAGCTTTAGTTTTCTTTTTGATTTTTTAAAGTTCTGAAATCAAGTATCACCTCACAATTACTGATCACCCGGTACTTATCATATTCATCCCGGCTTTAGGCATTGCCAATTCAATTAAACGGAGAGTACTTACCGATATTAGCAAGCTGGGTTTCAACATAAAATGTCACAATTCTCGAATTACGAAAATTTATTTTTTGCAACATGCTTGAGGTGCCGATTTAATATTTACCAAATTTATAGACAAACTAAGCTCTGCCAGTTTTTGCCTTTCAGCAAGCTTTACAGAAAATATTTTTCTGTATACACATCCTTAAACTTGTAGAAAAGGTACTTTAAGAATATTTCCACTGTTGATGTTATAGTTTGCCGACTAGGCAATAAAAAGTAGCCTAGTTTTATGCTGTGTTAATGTTACTAAAATAATATCAATTTTTGATGATCGAACCTAACATTTGTATAGCAAACAAAAGAAAATCGAATGTCATTCCTAAGTCGGTAAAGTGAGCTTCAGGCCATAGTTCAGTATCATCAACTTAATAGTCAACGCGAATAATTTCTGGTTTTTATAGAGTACGGAACGACAAAAGCATTTGAAGGGATTGAGAGTTGCGTAGTTGCTATGGCACCAAGTGCAAGCAATACCCGTTCTAGCGTAAATCAATGTAATATGCTACAATTTTCGAAATATTTTTTAATTACGAGAACGTCAATTGTTTTGAGGATGCTATTTATGAATACTAAAAAACATAGAATGCCCAGAACAATCCCTTGAGGAAACACTCTACAGGGCGCCCGCAAAATGTAATTCATTTGCTAAAATCTGATCTCAGGATTCGGATAGAACAAGAAGTTGGGATGCGAATGATATATCCGCGATTATTTTTGTACTTAATCTAAGTAAATGTAGAAACATAAAACGACTTACCTCGTAGCTGTCGCCGTAGTAGAATTTAACCGAAACCAAGATCACATGACCGACCGCGGTCACGCTGCCTGCCATGATACACCATCGTAGCGGCAGGGGTAACATGGCGTAGGACACGAATACGGTGAAGAGGACGTACCACACCAAAGCCTCTTTAACGCTGAACCCGACTCCATCTCCGATTAAACCTTACATAGAACAACGAAGATCGTTTTAAATAGCGTTTTCTCAAATGCGGTAGAGTTTGACTCAAACTATACAAGAACGTTCGCCATTAACATTTTAGAATGCATACTAAGATTAATAAAATATTTTATATTAAATAATGATATTGGTGCTAATAAAAAATACGATGACACTAAATATAAACGAAATGTTAAGAATTATCTAATTAAGTATGTTTTTATTCAAAACATAATTTTGTTTCACTCTCAGAGTTAAGATTAATTACAATGTTATTTCGTATGCAAATATAAGAATCTTAATTTTTTAAATTGTACCTAAACTAGGAGCGCATTTTACTTAATGTCACTAATGTTCCATATTTTTGCCGGACAGTTTTTACTGAATTTATTCATTTAAATGTCAAGTAGGTAATTAAATCTACAAATGCGCAATCTATTTTTTATCTATACTTAAACCGATTTTTGAACAAATGGTAAATCCCCATTCTGACGTTACATTTCTTAATAACTTTTTATTTGCTGATTTTTATTTTATTACTTTATCTTGTTTAACTGTATATTCCAAACAAAATTTTTAAGATAAGTAAAACAGACATCATTTTGCCATAAAAAAAGGATATGCTGCTAATTTTACGCGGTTTTAAAAATTTTTTATTTACAGCCGTCCGTTTTCAGACTCTGATAGTTTTAAGAGGCAATATGATTAATAAAACGATTTTTTCTTATTTTTGCAACCCCGAGAAAAAACAATGATTTCAAATTTAACAAACAAACAAATTGAAAATGAAAGAGAAGCTAGAACACCGCCACATATTGACGAAATAGTAGTGAAAATACTGAGAACCAACGAATCAGGCAAACCAGCCGAAGTTTTTGATCCGTTCACATCTAATCGGTGTTTTAAAGAAAGTGTTCCCCAACCCTGCAGGTGAACAGCACACTAATGAAGATATGATTTCGGAGTTATATTTGAGTCCTGTTTATGACTAATTTGCTAGTGTATAACAATGTACAACAATGGCTGAAAGTTTTATTAATTGCCTTGAGTTCCTTTCTAGATTGTCATAAATTAAACATTTGATTTCTAATCTATTAGTATCGACAGTATCATGGCAGATGAGAGGCATTTTTTATAATATATACGTATGTAAAAAAAAAGTCATAAATTTACAATGACTTAATTACCGTGACAGAGGAGCATGTGGAGAGAGTGATATGCAGAACCAAGTTAAACGTAATAGGTGTTAACGGCATCGATCTAGAAATACTTTCTTTAATTACTCCTCAGCTGGTGACATTTATTATTAACCAATGTATTATTGCCTGCAAATTTGTATCCCTCTTGCCTAATATAATACCCCCATTCCTAAGACGACTTCACCATCTTAAATCTCTCATTTTCGCCCATTAGCTTTCTGTGTGTAATATCTAAAATATTGGAGGACATTATATACGATCGACTTAATAAACAAGTTGCGTATTTTCATCATTGATTTCTATAATCTCTAAAGCCGATATTAAATGATTCCAAGACGCAGGTTGTTAATTTTGGTAATTAAAAGTACTCACTTAAGAACTGTACATTCTTGTAAAATCTTTGTTTATGATTCGATTTTGTTTTTTTTTGTTGGATAGATCTTTGAAAAATACGCTAATGCTTTGTTTTGCTTATTGCTTTAACTTAAAGTCATAGCCAACTGAGACTATTTAACAAGAGAGGGAAGAGAGAAAGAGAGAAGAGAGAAGTACTATTAGGATTTTTTTTTAAAATGAATTGGCAACGAATTCTTATTCAGGAGTACTTAGAACTCAACTATACCAATTTTTATAATGTTTTAATACAGGGTGGTAAACTAAAACTAAAACCAAATCTAATTTCCATGAAGTTAGAATACTGGGTGGTCAAAATATCGAGGGCGCCTAGCATTACTCCTGTAGAATGTTGCTCAATTTTGATAATTTTGATAATTTACAGTGTTCGAAGTGTTTTCGGAGCGCGAGCATTGAAGATGCCAAGTGAGAATTCCAGTCGGATGCAGGATTTGCAGGATTCCAGTCGGATGCAGGATTCCAGTCGGAGTTCAACGAGCGAACGGATGATATCCCGGAATATAGTGTCATCATATATATATATATATATATATATATATATATATATATATATATATATATATATATATATATATATATATATATATATATATATATATATATATATATATATAATCAAAATTGAGCCACAAACATTCTACAGGAGTAACGCTCAAACGAGGCGTCCGCGATATTACCAGCACCCTGTATCAGAACTACTTCATGGAAATTAGTAGGTTTGATGCAGTCCTGAATAAGAATTCGTTGACACTTTGTTCTTAAAGAAATCCCTAACAGCCCTCCTCGATATTTGACATCAAAAATTGGTCCCAGTCGGCCATGATTTCAGGTTTATGTAATAACAAACATAAGTGCGTTTTTGAGAGATCTATCCAAAAAATCACCAAAATCAAACCGTAATCAAAGATTTACAACAATGGTACAGGCTTAACCGGGGGGCAAACGATATTTCAAACACCCTGTATTGAAACATAAAAATTGGTGTAGTTGGGCCCTAAGTACACCTGAATAATAGTACTCTTCTCTCTCTTTTGTTAAATAGTATCAGTTGGCCATGACTTCAATTTGAAGCAATAAGCAAATAAGGTTTTAGTGCATTTTTCAGAGACCTATCCAACAAAAAAAAAATGAAAATTGAACCATAAACAAAATTTTTATTAGAGTGTCTAGTTCTTTAGTGGGACACACTATATATAAATACTACTTATCTACTGACATTAGACTCAAATTGTGGGACTTTCTCATACTCTTTCAAAAATTGCAAAATACCCTTCATGACATACAGCTATGATTTGTGGTATATTCTTTGTTGTATTTTAATATAGGCTATTTAATGCAGAAAAAAAAACTCAATATAACACCGTGGAAGAATAAAACCTGTAAATGAAGAAAGCTAAAGATTGAAAATTTGAGGGAATAATGTAAATGTGATTTTTATTTTATTACTATTACTTTACTTTACTTTTTATTATTTTAAACTCTAAAAACTGTCAAGTTTTCCTTATGAAAACCCAAGACTTTCATCTCTACTGCCACGGAAAGTAAGTCAGCGTGTTTAATTTTTAAAGAAATACAGTGAAATTTACATATCAAAACGTAGGAACGTAGTATTTTCAGACCAAACGTGGATATTTTCCACTCGAAGTGCATACTGGTTGTTGAATAAACTTTATTTCACGTGCAAGTTTAATTTATATATAATATTTAAAAATGGCTAACAAAAAAAGACAAATTTGGATGCTCCGCCATTAAACGGTATTAGGCAACGAAGCGTTTCGTTCAAGAATTGCAAACAATCAGCTTCATACGTGGCTTGAAACACAGAATCAAAATCCTTAATAAATCATGCTAAAATCGAAAATTCCTTTAATGGCAAAGTCAAGTATTGGGTGAATATGGCCATGAGGTTCTACACATTCTTCAAATCATTACCAGTTTAACGCAATAGAATTAGTATGGGCTGGAGCAATATGTATCTAGTACTGTAATAAATCCGTACAATATAGAGAATATTTAATACGGGACTAGTAGAATCGAGAACGAGTACTGCATGTCGAATTAGTAGCCATGATCATTCTTCCATTCGAGGAAAACTTACAATCATACATTTTTTGCCTATAACATTACATAGTGCTTTCCGTTACATATTTTAGTCTTCTATTGTGTTTTTTATACATAATCTCCTGGACAGTCCTCAAACCACTGTTTCCGCTACTGCTTAAGGTAGGCTGGCTATTAAATTTTCATTTTATTCTTTGAATTAATTATTTTAGATATTTGCTAACATAAATTGAACTGTTTACTAATAAAATTGGCATTTTCGGTACAGAAAGCGCTGTAATTGAAGCAGTTTTGGAGATGCTCGAAAGCGTCATTTTGGTCCAAAAGGATTTTATAATTTTAAAAAGTAAAAATTTTTTGCCAATAAGTTGACAAGGCTTTGCTAATATAAATTCATTAATCTTTGCTTTATTTCTGGCTTCCAAGGTAATAAATTGGTGAGAGTTACCCATTGTTATCAAAATTATTTTCATTCTCAGTTACTTTAAACAAAAATAAAAAAAACTACTCCACTTCACTGTCTTCAGAATTAAAAAAAAAAACTAAGATGTCTTCATTGTCGTCTTCTTCGACGGTACTACAAGTAGTCCAACGTCTCAAATATCACATATCTGTATTGTCATCCAAACTTCTTAGGTTACCCTTTCTGTGTAGTTGGCATAATTGGAGTAGTATTTTGTGGCGTAAAGATTTGACATGCTCGTTCAGGTATAATTTTGATTCATGGTAATGGTTTTTGTCTACAATGCTCCATATTTCATTCTGCATGGTAATTTAAGGGAAGTCAATGTTTTTTCTTTTGATAGCTTACGTTGTGCATCACTATCAAACTTTTTGGAGAAAACTTTCGTACCAGCTGATTTTTAAACTAATTTCCAAAATTTTACTTGTTCATATTGTCATTATAATTTCCGTTTTTTAGTCCACTTTTAAATATTAAATTGTTCCCGTTAATAAATCCTTCCTCTGATGCAGCGTGAATCGCAATATATCGTTTTTTTTTAGTAATTGTAGACAGTGTTATCCTGCCATCTGTTTCTAAACAAACATTTACTAAAAACGCAAGTCTCGTCAATAAATGTGGTGGTATAAAATCACCTTCTCCTAAATTTTGATTTTTGATATATTCCCACAAGATATTGATTCGATGTGAGGTAAATCGATCACGTATTTTATTTGATTTCTTCCACTTAAAACCAATACTTTTTACGTATTTTCTTAACGAGCTGATGGAAAAATTGAAATATTTATTTGTCTCCTTTAGTATGTTAACCATAGTATACATTGTAATATATTCATTTTTCGCAGACATGCAGTAGATGATATCTCTT